ACCCTAGCAGTTTGAAGGCACAGGATGCTAGGAATCTGTTGGCTGACATGCGGCAAGCCCGCGTGGCACCGAATCGCTTCAGCGCCTTGGCTTTACTGAGTAGTATTTTATTTGGGGATACTACTTAGGGTTTAGGGGTTTAGGGTTTAGTGGGTATTATGGTACCCAATATTACCCAATAATGGACAATCAAATGGAAAATAAGATGGAAAATGAAATGGAAACTAGGATTATATAGGGGTTATTTGGGTAGTATTTTATTTGGGGATACTATGGTACCCAATATAGAGTAAGATTCTATCCTCCTTTTGGGGTATAGTATTTTTACATAAGGAATATAATCTTACTAGGTTCAACACTCTACTGGTATGTGAGGTGCTTCAAGGGACCTTATAGGGTTTAGGGTCTAGGGTTTGGGGTTTAGGGTTTAAGCCTCAAACTTCATGCAATGGCGGTCAGAGATATTGGAGTTTCCCAAAAAATCCCAATGGCCAATGTAACTAATATTTACAGACTTTAGGGCCCAAGGTAGGTATTATTTGTGTAGTTGGATCCCTAGGGTCTGGTTTGAGGCTCATGGCTCAGTTTCGAGGATTAAGCCTTACGGCTTGGTGTTCCAAATTCTTGGGCCTGAACATTTGCGCACCACCCAGGGTGTCTGGAATAGAGTAGTATTCGGGATGCGTGCAGCGGCGACCCGTTTGGGGACATGTACTGAATGTCTCAGATGTGAGAACTATCTGCTGCACCACTTGGAAACGCTGCATGGGCATGATATGACGGTCAAGGATTCATTAGATCCAGGACAGAGTTGAGTTTTAAACCTGGCAATTGCACTGGCTCAGGCTAGGAGACTTGTCACGGACAGAGGCATACGAAGACCACAGACCATTTCATGTTCGTATGGCAGAGGGAAAGTAACGCCGCAAAAGAGGGAGAAGTAAAGGCAATGCAGTAGAATGATCTGACACACACTACCCGTTACTGGGTCAACGTTGGGGATCGGGATGCTACTTTTTTGCCACAGTGCGCTTGAAAATGGTTGGGCGTAGGTTTCCTGAGCTTGCATATTACATCTGCAAAAAGGATCTTCTAATCTGGCCCAGACACTTTTTTCCCAATCCTGTAAACTTGGACGCTTGTTTCCTAGCGGTGTGCTTAGCCTTGCTTGGGTAGGGATGTGTGTGGCGCAAGTTGTGTGGCTTCTTCGTCTGGAAGCATGTATGAGATCTTTCTGGAACAGCGCCTAAAGCCTACACCCCATATAACCCTACATAGCCCCAATATAATATATTCTCTATAGAACCCCTGTATCCCCTCCCCTCCCCCGCCACCCCCCCCCCCGAAGCCTTAAGTCATCCCTGTTGACCCCTTCCTCTTCTGGGATTTGAGGGTTTAGGGTATAGAGTAGGTATAGGGTATAGGGTTTAGGGTATAGGGCTTAGGGTTGAGGGTATAGGGCTTAGGGTTTAGGGCATAGGGCTTAGGGTTGAGGGTTGAGGGTATAGGGCATAGGGCTTAGGGTTGAGGGTATAGGGCTTAGGGTTTAGGGTATAGGGCTTAGGGTTCAGGGTTTAGGGGCTAAATTAGGATGCCTTCTCCCCGGTGGATCTCTCATCCTTACCGGATGGCTGCGCATCTCGCAGAACTAGGCTCGAGAGTTTAGTATCAGGCTGCTATACTTCTAAGGCTCCAAGGACCCAAATCATAGGGTTTTAGGCCCTTAAATATTACAATATCATATATTATGGAACTCCGAGGACCCAAGTAATAGGGTTAAAAGCCCCGAAATACTATAATATCATATACCTCTAAGGCTCCAAGGACCTAAATAATAGGTTTTTAGGCCCTTAGATACTATAATATCAAGGTTATGTGGGCCCTAAATCCTTATTATTTGGGTCCTTGGACCTTTAGGGTACTAGGGACAGCCACAGATGTTGTCTAAGTCTAAGGCTACACATCTGTGATCAATGCCTGGGCGGAGAGAGGAAACGTTGAGGAAGCGCAGCGTGTGCTGGAGGACTCCCGGCCCTCGTGCAATAACGGAAAAACAGTGGAAGATGTGAGAAAGATATAGGTTGGCTGGGCCCCCACCCACTAATAGTGGTATACTAGGAATATATAAGGACCTAATATCAGTACCATTACCTCTTGTGGTCACTATTAATGGGTGGGGGCCCAACCTAAGATATAGGAGATTATGCAGGGATCCTGCTGCAAGCCTTATGAAGCTGATACAAGGAGTTTTGCCTTGCGAAGCAACGTTGCCAAAGTTCTCGCAAAGCAGAAACAGACTCTTTCCTACGTCGCTCATATGCCCAAAATGTCCATACCAAGCCTAAAGCAGGGTTTCGCAAGTGGACTCGCCAGGTCCGTATACAATCCCTGGTGAAGACTGGTATCATCTCCTCTGAACCCACATACACTTCTCAAGTGCAAAGGGGCCCCTGTAAGGCGTGTAAGATTCTTGGAAATACAAGACGGGCTGCGCAAGAGGGATCTTCACCTCAAAAAGGAAACCTGAAACAAGACCCCTGGTATATTCCTAGTCCCTCCTCCTACCCTCTATTAGGGCCTAAGTACCCACTATTAGGGACCATGTATCCCCAATGAAGAGTACAAGGAGGGTCCTGGTTGTTTGTGCTATTCAAGAGTTCTGTTGTGGCTTGGTATTATGCAGATCTTGGGTTTGGGCTCAGGGTATTTGCAAGAATTGGCAGCTTCAACATGCTTCCTGGAAATGAAGCAGATGCAGGATATCAACGGATGCCTATATGGGGTTTCCCAAAATTAGGGGTACCATTTTGGGGGTCCCAAGAATACGGAGTAGTCATAGTATTGTCGGGTCCACACTGGGGTCCCCCCTAGTTTGGGAAATTGCCATATAGGATCCTATTTCCTGAATCGTAGTGTCTTGCAAGGCTACCACGAAATTGTACGCGATCTTGAGCCGCCACGCGAGACGATCTCATGACTTCGCTCATCCATGTGAAGGCATCTTTTTCGAGATGCTGCCTATTTCCATGTGGTAGTTTCCATGAACAGGGAGACTCCAATCTAGATCCCAAGACACCATAATCCCCATGATAGGTACCTACACAAAACGGACTACCAATTTCCCCTAAACCCGAAACCCTAAACCTGCAGGACATGACCAAGGATGCTGTGACTCCGCAAGCCGTGAGCTGGAATGCCGTGTTGAAGGCATGCGCTCGAAAAGGACCCTCAACACAAGTTCTGGGATTATATTGGGGTTTATAGGGTTTAGGGTTGAGGGATTATGTTGAGGTTATTTCGGGATAATGCAAGAGAAAGTGGAAATTACTATAGCATACTAGGGTTTTATTGGGATAATGGAAAAGAATATGGGAAGTACTATAGTATATTGGGGTCATATTGGGATAACGCAAAAGAAAATGGAAACTACTAACACTGAGGAGCGGCCTTTGTACACAATTCGGGTATCAGGAGTGTAGAGGCTCCCAGGCGCCCAATTCATCGGATGTTGGTGGGGCTGGCTTGTGTTCAGCAGGAGGCTCTGACTACAGCAGTTTGGAAGGGCATCCAGATACACAGGCTTAGGGTTTAGGGCTTAAGCCTTTTGGCTTGGGCGCAGCTGTTTTGCCCATGATGGAAGTTTAGCAATCCTCGAAAGGCATGCCTGATGAACGGATGGATGGCTTAGAAAACCGCTCCTGGCGGCATCATTAAGGCTGCAGTATGCTGACTGACTGGTCAACATACTGTCCCCATTCCATTCTAGATATGCCGCGCGTTATCTAATTAGTAGTGCTATCGTGGCTGCAATTACTATTGGGAGGGTGGAGGTGACTGCATCGAAAGTCTAGGTCCGTGAACCCCACGCGCAAGCTTTGGCCAACACTCCTTACATGCAAAACCTGCATTTACTTGTGGCCGGAGTGCAGTACATAACCCTAACGCCCAAACCCTTTACACCCGAATGACAAATCTTAACACCTAAACCCTGCATGAAGGAGATGTGCCGACAGCGCGCAAGATGCTTCACGACATGGCTTCCAGGGTCATCGATATGGATGCGGAGAGTTACAACTGCGTGCTGATGCTTGTTTCTTTTGTCGGCGCTCGCAGGGGGTCGGCCTAATTGTTCATGATGTAACTGCTTTTATCAATGAGCATAGCATCGTCCGTACAGTCTAAAGATTCTTAAGCAGGGAATCCGGATTTTGGGAAAGACTATACCCTAGAAGCCCAGTAACCTATATATATATTGGGTCCCTGTCCTTAAGGCTCTATATAGATTTATACTATCTATAGCCCAAGGACCTACTATATCGGTACCCGGGCTTCTAGGGATAGGTGGGTTTGAAGTTTAGTCTCTACCTTCAGCCCCCGAGCACTTAAAGAGCAGGGAGTTCAGAGCTCAGCCATTTTCGTTCAGATTGACTAGGGTTTAGGGTTCAGGGTTTAGGGTCTCCTGCTCCTGGTAGCTAATCCCCCCCCCAACTCAGCCAAAATTAATATTCCACTCTTTGAAACAGTGTTGTAGCAAGAATATTGAATTGATGTACAAACTCTATATAACCCATGGTACTTGTTTCCATTTATTTTCCATTATCCCCATATGACCCCAACATAACCCTAATATTACCTCAACGGGTAAAAATGAACTGAATACTAACGGGCTGGCAGGGCGTTGGGTGTACTGATTGCTCGCCCGCACCAAGTAGCCCGAACGCAAGGTAAGTCTGCAAAAAGCGCATCATAAACACGCTGGACCTAAGGCAGGTTCTTTGGGAGCGGAAGGAGTCTACAATGTCTGCCTTTCTCTTTTCGTAATTAGCAAGCTTGTGATTTCCTCAGCTGTCGCTTGCCTAGCTCCCTGAAACCGTTGACAGATCCCTAGGCAGTCGCATAACTGTTCTGGCGAGCATTGCTTCGTCATCCGCGCGGTCATTGCTAAGAGCGGTAGCTTTACCCCCACGACATGTTTCGTTCTACCCCTGCCTGATGTTAAGGAATGCATGCAGCACAGTGGGCGATGCTGAATCTGCTGAGGGCGTGTTTTCTGGCAGAACTGTGAGCTTCTTTCAAAAGTTGGTTCCCTGATTGACTCTAGGGATCCATAGGCATGACAAGGAGATTCAACGAATCCCCCCTATCATCCGGAACTGCTCCATGTACGGGGTAATGAAGAATCACCGTGCTTGGCTGGAAACTGAGTTTGCGCCTTTGGGTTTAGAGCTTAGGGTGTGTAATATACGGCTCAACATCACACGGAGTTATTGTCGTGCAAAGGATCCCCACATACAGTGTCCTTAATGGGTTTCTCAAGAAAAGCATGCTCGGCTTGCCATACGGGTCCTGATTGGAAGGTTTACGGCGCTCGGATTGTGAAGGAACCTTCAAGGCAAACTTGTTGACACTGTGAATAACGGGAATGATGCTGAACATCGACTGCCGTGAGCTCTGGGTGGACAAGAACTATCGACTTGAAAGGTCATGGTACACAAAGGCGGGTCTGCAAGTCTCCCACGTAGGATGCAGCATATCCTAGTGATCACCTAGTAACACCTACGAATGCCCAGGAATACCTCGGAATGAGCCTCCAAGTAGGAAAGCGGCTCACGTTGCTGTTCCCTCTGTCTTCTGTACCGAGGTTTCAAGAGCTTCGCGACGCAAACATTGCCCCTGATGTAGCTGCCCGGCTTCAAGAGACAGAGGGTTTTATTGTGCAGGCGTTCATGTTGTCGTACGCAATTCTGACCAACAATCTGCACCGGTGGTGATCCAGTGCAGTTGTGATGGAAACAGATGCCAAGAAGCATTGCTTTCCAGATTTCAACCCACCATGATGATACCAGCAGTCACTCAAGACAGGCGTTGTCCCGCGGTCATGCAGGAGCCAACCACTAAACTTGCAGTGACATTTGTCGGCGCCTCATGCAGGACTGTATGTCACGCATCTTACACATGGCAAGCAATAAACCGCACACCCCAAGCCCTAAACTCTACACCGTAAAGCCTGCATTTTAGTGTTTATCACAAAAACAGAACGTATATGCTGGTAGGGACGCCTGCGAGGTCAGCTACAATTCGCTCATCAATGTGTATGCCAAGAGAGCTGATGCAACAAGCGCCTGCGCGAGACTGGAGGACCGCGGTCTAAAGTCCAAAGCCTTACTTTGGGCATTATACCCCGTAAATCCTGACTCCCATGAACCCTAAAACTCTAAGCGCTGCAGGTCCTGACCTCAAAGCCCTAGAGCCCAATCTACATTTCAAGCCCCAGGCCCATCCCTATACCTGCTAAACTGTAAGTCCTACACCCCATCAAGCCTGACCACCCCCAGCATACCACGGCGGGATCCCGTAGCAGCGGAATACATGCTTCTTAACGCCCAGCCCCTACGAACAAATACCCAAAGGTGCCCCGCGCCCCGATAATGAAGATTTTTCGGTACTATACGGGGTGGTGCGTATCTAGTATTTGGGGAGATGATAGGGGGATTATTGGGGGGAGGTGATTGCCACAGTCACCACAGAAGAGCTGCGTTTGATTAAGGGTTACTTTTAGAGGCTTTTAAAGGTTACCTGGCTACCTGTAGTAAGGATTACTGGGGTCTATGTTGCCTGCCGTCTTTGTTCATGTTTCGCAGCCCGGGGCCCTAGGCCCGCAAGGTACCGTGCCCCCAAATGAGCTACAGTTAAAAGGGTTATATGAAATAGAGTCTAAACTATTTAAAGGGGTTTTATAGGGGACTACTATAGGGCTTATTAAGGGGAATACTCGGAGTTTAGGGGTTACTCATGGGGATGCTAGTAATTCAGACTACGGTTCAAATGAACTCCCTGGCACTAGATGTCTTACTCGTGGTTGGTAGGGAATGAAGGACTATATGACATGGGGTTATATAGGCCTTCCGTCCCTTATTCTCTTCTAACCACAAGTAAGATGTTGTAAGCCTTCTGTATCACCCTAAACCCTAAACCCTTAACCCTAAGCCCTAAACCCCAAGCCCTAAATAAGCCCTAAGCCCTAAGCCCTAAACCCTAAGCCCTAAACCTTAACCCTAAGCCCTAAGCCCTAAACCCTAAGCCCTACACCCTAAACCCTAGATCCTTCACCAGCCTGGTCCAAAAAGGAGATGGTTGCCGCAGGCATTCAGCCTTCGCAAATCAGCTTTAACACAGCAACCTAGCTTGCATGTAGGGGGTTCCCAAAATTAGGGGTACCCTTAGGGGGGTTACAGGTGTTATATAGGGATGTATAGGGTTTAGGGTTTAGGGGTTCCCAAAATTAGGGGCACCGTTTTATATACAGGGATTATTGCTGTTTTGGGTCTAGACTGGGTTTCCCCCCTTTATGGGAACTACCATGAGTAAGACTCAGACAGGTGCATCTGACCCTAAGGTACAGATGGATTTGGGGATTCAAACAAGCCCTAAACCCTAAACCCTAAACCCTGGGGAACGCATGGGGATGGCATTTGGTCCATCTTTAAAGCCCCCCCATTCTACATCTCTGAAGGGGGTTTAGGGTTTAGGGTAGCCTGGCTGCTGTTGGGATTCGTTGCGGGCCCTGTTTTTTGATAGCGTTTCCTAGGAAATGGAATTGGATACGGGGACTGTTTCTCGGTAGTATACTGGGACTGTTATAAACGGGGATTCGATTTCTGGGCTGAGGCGGGGCCCTGACAGAGGGTGACCCAACATTTTGGCACAATGTATGGAGCCTGTCAGTGTTACAAAGATCAACTTTTCTGGAAGCTCGCTACAAGTAAGTTGGACTTTTTTGTTATCTATAGTCCTAAGAACCATCTGAAGTTGTGGCTTCTAGCAGGCTTGCAGTTCTGCATCTTTAGAGGAACCCCTAAACTCTTAATTCTGTTCTAAACTTAACAGATTAAAACAAGATAAACACCCCAACGCCTAATTCTGGCCTCGCTGTAAGCAACCACAGCTTAGGCCATAAATGCTTGTGCAAAAGCGGGCCAGCTGCCGGAAGCAGAGGCTCTCATGGAGAGGATGCCCTTGGCTCGAATTTTGGTATGTTTGTCCTTATTGTTTTTGTTGGTGGGGAGTGTATTCTGGTTTTGTTCAAGGTTGAGGCATTTGGGGTTTATTGGCGGCTGCTTGGTTTGGGGTTTAGGGTTCAGCGGGTTTAGGATGACATGCAGGCTGTGCTTTTGGGGAGAGCAGGTAGGGTGGGAATCAAAATCTGGACCCCACGGGGCTTGTTGTGTGCAACATTATAGCCTCAACCTCAAGACCCTTTGTAAGAGGTCAGGGTACCCTACCATTGCTTGAGGTGTGTGATATAGTCACTGCCATGGCCTCTGCCCTCCCTTGTCGCCAAACACGATTTCTCCCCATATGCTACGAAATCAACACAAATGTGTTGAAATCTTGCTTCCAGAGAAACACTCGCAACATTTCTGTCGTTTTTTTCCTCGTGGAGGAGCAGATCGTGATTGAACGTGGGCAATGCAGCATAGTTGTTGGGCTACATTGTTGAAGAGGCGTTCAGGTTTTCGTGGGTTCTGTTCCGGAGAGGAAGGGCTTGATGATTTCCATATTGAAGGGCTTTCCTAAACCCTAAATAGTAGTTTCCGTTTTCTTTTCCATTATCCCTATATAACCCTTATATAAAGCCTACATAGCCCCTAAACAACCCCTACATAGCCCCTATATAACCCCTATACTAAAACCTAAGCTTGTAGGACCTGGGAATAGTTTGCGAGCACTCAACACATTGGGCTTAGAAGCCGCAGTGCTTCAGGGGTTTAGGTCTATATAGGGTTTAGGGTTTAGGGTGGTTTAGGGAATAATGGAAAAAACATGGAAGCTACTGTATTATAATGGTTCTAGAAGAGTGGTTTTGGGATTTGGGTTTCCACTTTCTTTTCCAGTATCCCTATATAACCCCAATATCTTCCCTATAATCCCTATATAGCCCCCAATAAAATCCCTGTAATTCCTGTAGTTTCCATTTTCTTTTCCATGTGAAGTTCACTGCTGAAGACGATTTTTCAGCATGGCACACGTTACAGGACAGCAGGGCTAAAGATGTTGATGGTGGGTTTAGGGTGTAGGATTTAGGGTTTTGGTTTGGGGTTGGGGCTTAGGGTTTAGGGTTTAGGGTTGAGGAGGAGGAGGGGCAGAAACAATTTACGTCAATTTGCTCGAGCAGGTGGCAGCAGCAACCCTCTTAGAAGCTTCACAAATGATGGCACAGTGTGGGTAAACTCCTGATCTAAATGGCTAATCCATACAAACCTGAAACCCAACTCCTACGTACCCACATAATGTAAGGCCCTAAACTTAGTGTAAATCTTATCCTTTTAACCCTAAACCTGATGTAAACCCCAAAACCTAAACCCTGCATCTAAACCAAGCCTCATATAAACCATGGCCCTGTCTAGAGACTATTCCCCCAAACCCTAAACCCTATGTCTAAATCCTAAACCCTGAACCCTAAACCCTGAACCCTAAACCCTGAACCCTAAACCCTAAACCCTATGTCTAAAGCCTGAACCCTAGGCCACACGTTAGCCTATGCCCTGATGTTCCTCATCTTTTCCTGGGAAGCTCATTGGGCGAGAGCACGCGGTTCAGGATTCAGGGTTTAGGGTTTAGGATTTAGGGTTTAGGGTTTAGGGTTTGAGGTTTCGGGTTTAGGGTTTAGGGCTTAGGCTTAGGGTTTAGGATGATTAAAATGTGTCTAAACTCAGGGTCCAACTACTCATATCTACACATATGTATATATTTATATATGCACACCACGTTGTATACAAAAGTATATGTTATGTAAGCCTACTGTGGGCCCAAAGCAGCTCCTTTAGAAACATCGTTGGGCAAAAGTCTGGCATTATTTGTTGTGTACTTGGAACCTTAGGGGCCAGGTCTTTTGATTGAAGCTTCTGTTGAGGTTTAGGGTTTAGGGATATATAGGGGTATATAGAGATATATGGGATGATATGGGGATATGTAGGGATTAGGGTTTAGGCTTTAAATGCACGCAAACTCTAAAAATTGACCGCCGTTGTTCGGTCCCGACAACAGGGAACCTGCTGACTGTCTACAAACAGTTTCGAATCATAAGAGAGAAGATGGATTGTAGAGGCCTCACTAGCTGCCAACCAATATTGTTTAGAGCTTTATTTGAGTTACCCTGTGCCATAGTTGTGCAAGGAAACTAGGACAGCAATACTGGTAATTCTTCATGGCCCTACATTAAGTTTTCCGCCATGGCTTCTGGTGTAGGGGCTAGTCTCTCTGTGGCTTCTTGCATCCTTTTTCTAAACCTTCCCGTCCGTGCTTGGCGGTATAATGCTCACTTAGGCCAGAATAGAGTTTAGTTTTCAGGGTTTAGGGTAGTTGGCTTAGGTTAGGGTGTACAGGATGCGCATGAGGTTTTTGATTCCTACGGGTTTCAGGTTTTCGGGCCTAAGGTCTATATATACATATATATATATGTATATAGTTGAAAAGGGTTGTAGTATTCATCTTTGCTGACTCCAACCGCCTAACGCTAAATTGGAATTGCAGCACTTCACGAGGAACGCAAGGTAATCACGCATTAAGCGGCAACTTGGGGAATTAGTTTGCGTTATTCATCGGGCTCATTCTTGGATAACAGGTCTGAGATGCGAGGCAACTGTAGCCCTGCTCAGACGACTGCCCAGAGGAGACATTTCCAGCAGCAGCTTAAGCGTAACGATGTGCTAGCATCATAGGAGGGCTACGAATCCACCCCTGAAAGCCTGAATCCCTACCAGCGCGCCTTCGGCATGTGGTTGCCCCTTTCAGTAATCCCGTAAGGGACCAAGGACCCCAAAAATAGTGATTTAGGGCACAAATACTATTCATGTTATTGTATTTGGGCCCTACATCCCTATTATTTGGGGATCCTTATAGGAGATCTCCTATTTGGGTGGTAGGTAGTGGACTCTGTTCTTGACCATGGGGCACCGGGCACCACCCCGCCGAGCTAGTCCCACATCCTCGAGCCGGACCACATAAACTTGGGATGCTACGAAAGCTCTTTTGACGGGTGCCATGAAACAACCCTCGTCTTCATAGCTTCAACGTAAAACCTCAAGAGAGGCCGCTATTCTTGGCATTCCAAGCTTGCCTCAAGTCCACACACAGGCTTTATGCTTGGTGGTCAGCTCGGAAGTCCAGTTGTCTTGATATGAGATGGGATGAAAAAAATTGGCAACCAACTGGACCATGATGGTAGAAACATTTGCACCCCCAATCGGCCGGCCACCCAGGTATTCAGCTATACCTCGCTGGCGGACGCTTACTCCCGTCAGGGGAACATGCGAAAGGCTGTGGCGCTGGTAAAGGGCATGCAGCGATCCGAAGTGCTTCCCAATGAGCGCCTCAGATCAATTCAGTTGTTGGCCTTGGTGTACTTAGGTTGCTGTTAAGGAACTGAGTATAAGTTACCATAGCTGGTAGATGTAGTAATTATTATGGTTTCCTGAATATAGTATCAAGAACTACGGTAAGTTCCCTTACAGCGACCCAGTCTTTTGATACTATCATCTTCAGATTTTCGACACCTGCCGGCGTCAATCGGCTGGATGCTACAAGGGCGCAAGCTTTGTCGTCCTCCCTTTGGGGAAACATTCCTCCTCATAAGAAAACCCTAAACCCTAAAGCCTAAACCCTAAACCCCAACTAGGACCATCATAAGCTGAATATAGACGCTCCCGAAAAAGCAAACAACGCGCGGGAAGTTCAGAGTCTGCCTATTGGTTTCGGGCTTTGGGTTTAGGATTTGACTTTGTCTGGCTGTGTGGCAACATGATGGCCGTGCACTTGTATATGTATCTCCCTCGGGCACAGAATGAGATCCTCCAGATCACGAAAAAAAAGAAAAAAGGATTGCAAGGGGGTGGTTTGAGAACCAGATGGACAAGACAATGGACAAATGTGATTTATGGGGATGATTAGGGTTTCCGAAAACTGGGGGTCCCTTTTGGGGGGTTACCGTTAGTAAGGAATACAGTATGCTGGGAGCAATACTGGGCCCACATATTATTTTTCGGGAAGTCACCTAAACCCTAAACCCCTGAACCTGAACCGCGTTCAAGGAAGCTGGAAAGCACGCCGCAGCCACAATTGAACTAGAGCGCGCAAACGATCGACTTCGCACAATCCCTTTCCTAGAAAACCACACGCTGCACATATATGCATATGTATATGTATGTATAGAACCGCCGATATGTACCCCCTATTTATCGATATATATATATATATATACATATGTAGCCACACTATAGATAACCTCCTGTTAAAAAGTAGAAGCTCGGACCAAGCCCAGGATTGCGCGCACCCAAGCTTTTCACTTGTGACCTTTTTTCAACTGCTTCGGTAGAGTCACCTGCTATAGTGCTGCTTTTCAAGTACTGCCGCCAACCCCTTGAGCCCTGGACTCCCGATAAAGGGTGCGTGCTCGACCCAGAAGCCTGGCGATTTCCTGTAAGATGTAAGCCTGAAACCCTAGAACCTTCAACCCCAAACCCGAAGGAGCCCTAAGCCTCAATGGCCGCAAGCTAGACCAAGGAGAACCTACACGACTCTCATCCAGGGTTGCAGACGCCAAGGGCTTCGAACTATGGCGGCCGAATTCCAGGCCACAGTTCCGGGTTTAGGGCTTACAGCGGGAACTTAAACGTTCGGCATACAATGATTACATAGTTTGGGATTCTTATACTAGTAATTGTTATGTACGTCTTGGAGAGTACATGATATGACATCTTTCATTACTTTGGACCATTCTGATTCGGGTTTGGGATACGTAGCTCGGACCTATGCATATGCATATCCTTGAGCCCTGACTCTTGAGCCCTGCATACCCTAAACTGTTACGTATCATGCCCAAACACCTGTGAGGCTTGTGCATACAGGTTTCAGGGCCTAGGTTGCAGGTTGGGTGCCAAGTTTTTCAGGCTTGTAGGGGATAGGTTTAGTCGTTTGGGTATACGGGAGGCTGATGCAACGGGTTGATCGTCATAGATTTGTGACATGCTGATGTTGTTGAGGGGTGCGCTGGCAGTTAGCTAGGTGATGCAGGAGCCCAACTAGTCACCCATATCATGGTCATAGATTGTTTGTATAATTTTGGCGTGGGATATCTCAGTTCAACTTAAACAAGATATTGGTAGTTGTCGAAACGCACCTACACTACAGCCCCCCATGAGCCCCTCCATAACTCCACTTTCCATTTAACTTTCCATGTTCCTCGTCCATGTGGTTCTCTATTATGGATACTTCTGTAGTCCCCTAAAGCCTAAACCACATATGTCCCCTACCTAACCCTATATCTCTATGTAACCCTTCATTCCTGCAGCCTGACAGGCAGAGCTTGAGCGAATGAGAAGCTTGGGACATACTGCTCAGCACTCCAATCAGCACCGTCCTGGGTCGGTTCCTGGGCAGCTTTTGGGTTCAGGGTTTTAGAGGTTTAGGGTTTTGAGTTAGCGGCATAGCTGGGTCATCGCTGGACATTCATATGTATGTAGTTTCCCTGTGTTTAACCACATACGGAATCTGCGTTCTGTACCCAAAAAGGAGCCAGCGCAAGTGTTGCGGGCGCAGGGAGGGCAGAGGGGCTGGGGTTCAGGGGCTCAGGGTGTGTAATGAGGGCGTGTCTCGAAAGCGGCGTGCTTGTCGTTGGAGAACCTTGGAGCCAATGCGGAGCCCTGAGGTGCAGTGTCCAGCTTGAGCATTTTCCAGATTCGGGGTCTATCCTAGGCCTCTTAACGGGTACATACAGGGAGTATAGTGGGGCTTTATGGGGAATATACAGGTTTATATAGCCACGTAGGGAGTATCTGCAGGGATTACTCTGAGAACGTCGAGCCTTCGGCTTGCAAGTACCAGTAGTTCGCACAGCAACTTATATTTTCCAAACCCTAAACCCCTAATAGCAGTAATCATCGGAATGGTAGTAGAAATAAAAGAGCAAGAATAATAGTAGTAGAAATAGAAGTAATAGTAGTCGTAATAGTAATAATAGGCATAGGTGCTTGGACGTCGTGGGAGAGAGGAGAATTTGCAGGAAATTGGGTCTGCAGTTCACACCAGCGACCTGTATTTTCCAAGGGATTGTGCCAAACAGCTCAGGATCGTGCAAGGTCTTACGATGCCACTGGGCAGAAATGGGGGGTCTCTATAGGTCAGGGCTCCATTTTCGCGGTGTAATTGTAGCATTTTCTCAGGGATCCGCCCAATGTAGGTAATATTTGCTAACTGTAGGGCCCAAGGTAGGTACCATTGTCTTTATAATTGGATCTCTACCTAGACCCTCCTCCTACCCTCTATTAGGGCCTGAGTACCTACTATTAGGGACTATATATCCCCAATTAAGGGTACAAAGAGGGTCCTGGTAGGGCTTGATCTTTGAGTGGGGACCATGGTTTTAGGCTCAGGGATGTTGTCGTGAGTAGGAGGTACCATGTGCAGGGCGGCAGTGAGAGTTCGGGACAAGCAGGTAAAGGAGCAGGAGGAGAAGGGGAAGGAGTATAAAAAAAGCGACGTTTGCTTCGAAAATTGGGAGAGGGGGCCCCAAAATTACGTGCCATCTTCGGACTCCCTGTGAAAAAGTTTATAGTATTTTGGGGTCTATATTGGGGTCCCCCTTTCAAGGAAATTACAAGTCGTCCATGGACCTGGTCGAGGGGGTCGTTGCTTGGGGCGCTGTGCTGTTTTGATGTGAGCGAGAGTCTACACTCCTTCATAGTGGGGTTATAAAGGGGATCATATAGGGTTTAGAATTTAGGGTTTAGGGTCTAAACTCCTTCAGCAGGGGTTGCATAGGGGATTGGGATTACAGGGAAAGCATTTTAGGGGTTATTAGGGGGATTAGGGGGGATACTAGGAGTTTAGACTATATCCCCTCTAATCTTGTGTGCTTATGCGTTTTGAAGCTTTGACATGACCTATCAGAACAGTTAAAGTCGCACTAGACCCTAACGAATCTGGCACCTTGAAATTGAAGATTCCCTTCAATCTGGAGCCCAAACCCCAAACCCTAAACCCTACTCCCTAATCCTTCGCGCTAAACCCTTAACTCTGACTAGGTTCTTGGTAAGAGTGTTTTCAGAGCCAGTTGTAACGGCAAGCCTTGCATTCCCCCCTTCCAGAACACTACTAACATTTAGGGTTATGGGGTTTAGGGTTTAGGGTTTAGGGCCAATAGAGGAGAATCAAATATGGAAGAACATGAACATGGCATGGAAACTGGGATTAGATAGTGGTTGTTCGGGATTGGGGACTGCAGCAAGCAGGGTTCTTCCTTTCAAAAAATCTGGTTTGGTGAATGCATATACGGTGCCTTGGGAATATTTGTGAGTGTAAAGGTTGGTGGGTGTTTTTGAAAATTGTCTACGTACGCAAATCCAGGTGTCCATTTCGTTGCTCATATGTTTCATTTGATTATCCATCATTGGGCCATATATATATATATATGTATGCTTCTAATGCCCCTATATGAGCTAGAGTCCAAACTCAAAGAGGGTAATATAGGGGACTATATAGGCGAGTAGTAAGTAGAGGGCGTGTTGAGGGGGATACTTTGAGTTTAGACAAAAGCTGATATACAGAATAATCGCATGCTTAGCTATGGGAGATGGGGCTACACCGTCTGGTCCACACTTGGAGGCTCACTGGCAGTTATGGGTGGCGATCAAATCAGGACAATTCCAATCATGACCGACTTTGGGCGACTGGTAACCAACAAGCAACTACCCAAACTCCCTAAACCTTCACAGGTGGAAAAAGAGCACGCCAAGAGGCCTGCCTCCGCTGGTGTGCTACTCTGTGGGGGCATTTGCAAGAAGTAGTTGGGTGCGTTCCAAAGAGCAGGTCTCCCTTAGATATTCAATGCCGTGAAATACGACGGTCCTCATTGTAAGACTCCCAACAGCTGACATCTAACGTATGGAAAATCCCTACTTCTCCTCACCTTGACTTCTTTCTTGTACAGGGTTTAAGGGGTACATAATTGGGAAACCTGTATTTGGACAAATGAGCATGTGAGGAAGTCTGCAAAGTCAGCTTAAAGGGGCGAGATAGGAATTCTGGAAGGGCTCCCGTTTCACAGATGATGATTAGCTGCGCTGGGCCTAGGGGACCTAGACCTGGGAATAATATTCTTCCCCGCAAGCTACAGTATCATTCTTTTTACCGCAACTACAAGACTTGGCTTATTATAAGTAAGTACTTGGTCTCTGATAGCTGTTGAGCTGCCAGGCAGTCCAAGCGAATGCCGCTACAGCATCACAGGCGGATTCAAGAGGGTCAGAGAGTCAAGAACGGACGGTTCCGTGGGTCGTGGTGGGCTGCTTGTGGTACAAAGTTCTTAAGGATCCAAGCATACAAATAATACCTACACTGGGCCCTAAAAGTCTGTAGATATTACCTACATTGAGCTATTTGCATCCCTGTACATCCCTATAACCTCCATATTTGCATGTTTGTTTTCCATTGCTTTCCCATGTGAATCTCCACTATTAGGGTAAGACATTGGGCTATTCGGATCCCCTGGAAATGCCTGTTTGACTACGAGGCGGGCATTTCACAGAAAGTTGTGTGCTCAATCTCAGCTGTTTATTGGCTTTTCCGTCTTTTGTTGCAGAAGTTATTGCGTCAGAAGAGAGCTGCAACGCAGTAATTTCATATAGAGGCGGTTCGCTATCAATTTTCTGAATCATGAACGCTGTAGGGCCTGTGGCATTGGGTCAGAAGCCACGGATCATGCTAGTTGAGGCTGACTCAAAGACTCCACAACCGACTGGCGCGTGCTCGAGTTGCTGTTTACGGATTGGGGCCGAGATTAGGGTGTGGGGTTTGGCATTTAGGATTTGGAGTAGCTGCCAAGCTTCATGGTTTCATGATGATTGCCGAATGATTGCCAAAGTTCCACAAGCCCGTTCAAACGACCTGTCAATGCAGACCTGTTGCAGGTTCATCTGGGCTATAGTCTAGACCCCTAGGGGGGTCCCTATTAGAAGGATAATAGTATTTCGGGTCTATGTTGGGGTCCGCCTATCTTGGGAAACTGCCACTTCAAGTTTCACAGGCACGTGCGATCATGGACACCTTTTCTCGAGCACTCTGACACGGGGTTTCTCAGAATTCTAGCTCTATTTTTAGCAGTATAAAGCGGAAATCCTTAATTCTGAGAAACACTCGCATCAGCTTGCTCCTGGTGTTGCCCTGGGGATCACAATGTCCCAATGTAGACAATATTCACAGACTTCGGGGGACAATGTAGGTATTGTATTGTTTGTAATTATACCTGGACCCGTATTGAGCCCCCTTTATAGCCAATGGACTGTGTTTTTTCATGTGCCAGGCCATCCTACCAGAGAGGGCAGCGGAGGCGCCTCTTGGGAGAAACTCCCAAAAATCAAATGCATGGGTGAATCCTCTTGGGGAAAGCTTACGTGCTGTACGGTAACGTAGAACTGTAAAACTTGGCAATATTGTCGCCCAAGATTGCTTGCATAACTAGAGCATAGGCTACCTGAAACAGATTGAACCATTGTGAGCTTTTCAGGGAAACGGTTTTCAATGGTGGTTATTTTGGACGCAGATTGGCAGATGAAACCCTAAAGCCTAAACCCTAAACCTATAGTCCCCCTTAAGCAGATAGAATATGGCTTTGGGTATATTATAATAAGATCCCCATATACCCCATATTCTATCTACTTAAGCGGGACTATAAGACCCTAGGGATGAACAAGTAACGTAGAACACATGTGAATAGTATTTCAGTTGGGGATACTATGGTACCCAATATAGAGTAAGATTATATCCTCCTTTTGGGGTATAGTATTTTATACAAGGAATATAATCTTACTGGTTTTAACCACCAAAAAAGCACTACTCATGTGGAATCGAACCCGCCGGGCCTGAAATATGCGATCGTTAGATACTTTGTGACCTTTGCTTACGTGGGTTTAGTTTAGGGTTTTGGGGTTTTGGGTTTAGGGTTTAGTGGGGAATAAGGGAATGCATCATGCAGTGATTATATAGGGATTAAATTCCCTTATTCCCTACGAACCACCAGTAAGTTTGGAGGTTGGGTCTACAGTGAGTTCAGAGGAATGCGTTAGAACATGCACAAGCATCTGAGGAGCTGTCATTGTTAAAGGGGGAAATAGGGGTTATTTGAGGCTATATACAGGGATTACGGGAGAATGACTACGATAGGGATCCGCGAGAATGCCTGTACAACCTTCAATAGTTCGCGCAAAGTTGAACAATCTTTCCTAGTAGCCCTTGAATACTGTGTCTGGCTGTGTAGCCACATCCTCCCCTGGGCTCACAATGTCAAGGCTATCTCACAATGGTCGCACTCTTTCCTAACATTCCTTGCGTTCATACTGTAATATGCCCAAACCCATGCCAAGTCTACTTGGCACTACTGTGGTTATGGCCATCCTATAGCCAGTAGGAGGCTAAGAGCCTCGAGTTGAGCCTCGGTTGATAGAACACCTTTGTTTCTGATGTCCCTAGCCCTGTTATGAACGGGAATGGAAGGGCACCGGACGCAATACCCCACATGTCTTTCGCCGCCGAGGGCTTCCTCGAAATCAAATGAGTATTTCTGTGGTTTGGCTATTGAAAGTTCCTTCGAAAGGGGTACAGCCAACCAAGATTCGCAGGTGCATCCCATACCTGAGAAATGCTAATCGTCATGCTTACCCCAAACGGATAAAATCCTAAACTCCTGAACCCTGAACCCAAACTCAACAAGTCTCGCCGTAGAAGTGTGTGTGGACTCAGGCCAGCTCGCATCGTCTCCATTCCTGACCCATCGCAAAAGACATAGGACAAAAAGCGCATGCTGCGGGTTCCATGAGTAGTACTCATAAGGTACAGTAGTCTACATAAAGGGTCTGTCTATCTACGGACTGTGTAGGGCCATTTCAAAATGTACAGGGTTCCGGGCCAGGAGGAAATCATGCACAAGGTTGCAAGTACCTCAAATTGTGCTAGAGCTACGGGTTGCCTACTTGTAGTTCTGATCATAGCTGCTCTTTCATCTTCAAATCAAATGCTCATAGGACGAGTCCTCTCGAACCAGCGAGGCTACCAACATCACAAGAGCAGAATGCCGCAAATCTATTATTATTGTTACTCTTATTCGTAGTAGTAGCAGTATTGACATCATTACTTTCACTCCTGTTACTACTAGTACCAATGTTGCTATATTGTTATTATTATTGCCATTTCATCCCGCAATATCATAGCCATAGCTCCTCATCCACGTGTGGAAATGCATCGACATGTGGGGTCTTGCTGCTTCTTGTACTTTGCTTGAGACGGATAATGACGCAAGATTCAATGGAACCATGACAGGAATTCAAAACTAGGTTTGCTTGGGATGTGGGGAGGAGAACTTTGGCACTGAGAGCTCGTGAGATTTTTCATGTGCCCACAAAACATCTTCCAGTAAGCATTGTGCTGAGGCCGTTCTCCTCATCGGCATCCTCAGGAGACCCGGCATAGAAGATCAACTGATGGTAGCAACGAAGGAGTTGCAAGTGCATGGTTCGAAGGTTACATAGGGCTTTATCGCAACAATACTCGAGAATCAGATGGAAGATAATGGAGAACGAAATGGAAACTATGGGGGTCATGTAGAGATCATACAAGGGTCATATTTTAGAGGGTCATACAATGTATATATGGGTATTGCCATCATTGATCCGCGACCTCCAGAGCTGGCATCTCCTGACCAACACGAAGCGCTTAGGATCATGTTGGCCGGTCACTTCATGGCACATGAGCTATAGTCTAAACTCCTTGAAGGGGGTAATGTAGGGGAGTACATAGGGTTTATGGGGTTTGGGGTTCAGGGTCTAAACTCTTTGAAGGGGGTTATATAGGAGATTACATAGGCATAGGGGTTATTTAGTAAGGGGATACTGTACTACGAGTTTAGACTATAGCTCATATCCTCACGGTGAACGGCTCCGACCCCCAAAGAATAAAGCATGGTTATCACATGACAACAGTTCACAAGGGTTCTCCCGATTAAGGTTCAGGGTTTAGGGTTGCCAAAATCCTCTTCTTGTAGTTACTAAACCCTAAGACCTAAACTTTTTTTCGGCTTCTTCACTTCAGAGCCCACACCCCTTTTCTCATGTGAGTTTTACTCCTTCTGCATTCCACTGGTTGTGTAGCTAGAAGCCGTACTAGAAGCCTTCTCGGGCACACTTCAATGATTCTAGAGTAGCCTGGGCATTTCCAGAAACACGAGACCCGCTTATACACCTTCAAGAGCTAACGAGAACTACACTCCCGATCTTTAGAAGGCTCCTACTGTCAGATATTCGAGCAATGCCTTTTACGGCCCAGGAGTTTCAGAACTCTTTCTAAAGTCTTCACATCATCATCCCCTATTCCCCAGCCCTGAACCCTAAACCATCCAACAAGTAGCCTAAATGCTTGTCCAGGGTTTAGGGTTTCGATCCCAGAATTTGGATTGCTTGGGTCCACCCCAACACCACGTCTGCAAACGGGCTGGTAGATGAGGATTCGCTGTTGAGCTTCAGGCACACGTGCGGTCGAGAGATGCAGAAGAAGAAGTCCCGTGCTGCCAGCCCTAAATCCTGAGTCCTAAGTCCCACATCCTAAGCCCACAGCCCTAAAGCGCATGGGACCTAAACGCACCAAACCTGAAACACGAAGCCCTACACATCTGAATCCCTAAGCCCTAAACTAAACCCAAAATAGTAACCTCCATTTTCTTTTCCATTATCCCAATATATCCCCAAAATACATACTGCTGCAGGGCTGTCCTCTTGGACTGGGAGCTGGCAGATGCGGGGAAGATCTTTATGCCGACAGTGACCGCCTTGGAAGGGATATATTGGGGGTATATTGGGATAATGGAAAAGAAAATGGAGGCTACTATTTAGGATTTAGGGCTTTGGGATTCAGACTTGTCCGTTCAGCAACATAAGCACCTGGGATGCGAGATGCAGCTTCATGAGTGAGGATTCCGCGGTCCAGAGCGCAAACAAACCGAAGGGGCCGATGTTTGAGATTTGAGATTTAGGGTTCATGAGGCTAAGACTCAGATCCTACCTCATGAGCCCTACATTGCATGCTGAGCTGCGGCAGCAGTCTCGCTGGGGTGGTATCGCCCCAACCCCATACTTACCGCTCATCCGTACCTCCAACGAGTATCATATTTTGCATGCAAACACCTGGTATGGCAATGTTATGGACTGATTTCCTGATTGTGGGGAGCTCCAATAAACAGGACCGCTATTGTCGGCGACCTCCATATGCAAGTCATGCAAGTAAGCGGCAAGCAGACGTGTAATGGAGTGCGGCTGGAAGACTTGTCTCTGGGCGTACACATCGTGTCGTAGGGCTTGAATTTGCTTCTCGCCTCTCATTATCCGAACTCAGAGATAGTGAGGCTTCCCAGAACAACAGGACAAACACGATTGTAAGTAAAATTAGACTGAGGAAAGGTGCCTATTATAGTAGTTTCCACTTTCTTTACCATTATCCCCCAATATTACCTCAGTATATTATAGCAGTTTCCATTTTGTTTTCCATTATTCCAATATAACCCCAACATTCATTCATCAGTCTCGAGTGTTACAAGACCTGGGCAGTTGCTTTGTTTTGGTTGTCATGTTTTCTGTTTTGGCCGAGTATCCCAGAACATGCCTGTTGTACCGGGAGTGTGCGGACTACAAAGCTTCAGAGTCCAGATCCTGACCTTCAATCCTAAACCCTAAACCCTCAATCCTAAACCCTAAACCCCAAATCCTCAACCCTAAACCCTATAACCTTCTCAACTACCCAGGCTTTCACACGTCCAGTCTTGACAGGTCCCAGCCTTGTTTCTGACGGGCACCCAAAACAAGAGTAAGCCTGAGAAAGCAACCTCTCGTTTCTTCTGGCCCAACATGCCATGACTTTATGTGCTTAGTGCGCTGGGTAGATTGTGGAAGTGCTCGGGCCACTGAGGTCGCAAACTTACGGGGATATGTGGGAGTTCGAGTAGTCACTAATCATAATTCGTGGTGATGGTTGTACGAACAAATATAGTCAAGCTAGTAGCAATACACTAGCAGGGTTTCTCAGCAAAGATGGCCTTAGGCATCCGGGGGTGGTGGGGTGTAGAAAGTGGAAGATAACATGGACAACGAGACTGCAACTGGTTTTTACAGGGGTTTATAGAGGTGAACGGAGGAAGGTAAAATACGCTAATTGCCTCAACCCCTACACCCTAAACCCCCAAACCCGAAGCAGCACATGTTCTGTTTATTCGCTTCGTGCCAGGTGGCCTGGGGAACTGTCTCAGCCTTTGCCCTTGTGATCGCTTGGGCCTGAGAGTGCTGTAGAAGGTTTACGAATTGGGATTTGGAGTATTTTGGGGTTTAGGGTTTTGGGATCATGTTTTGGTATCTACAGAAGCCTGAATACGTATCAGCGAGTTTCTCAACACGGCTCCAACGTAATCCTCCAGCAGAAACCCTGTGTATCGCCAGGGTACCAAGTGACCACCCTCATACCTTATAATCCTTGCATTATTGTATATTACAGATCGAATGGGCCTTACATTACATTAGGTGAGAGCTTTGTGCTTTGATTTCGGGGTTAAGGGTTCGGGTTCCAACACATGTGGTGCCAAGAGAGGGTACTGGACTTTTTTTTCACGGTTGGCAGGGCGGTTTTATTGCCCTGAGGAGATCCGCTTGGGCGGCGGGCTTTTAAGTAATCGCTTCTCCTAATATACCCTAATATTAAACGACTTCCCCCTCCCCCTAATATTAAATAATCTGGGGCCTGACTTGTTTTAACATTACTGGGGATATTTATTGAAGGCATCAGGTATGGTTGCCTCGAAAGGCTTTTTTAAGCCTTCTGAAATGTCCTTTCAAATGCCCCCTCAACGCACTTTTACATTCCTTTCAGTTGAAATCGAATGAGAATTCAATAGGCATCCACTTAAATGAATTGAACCGAATTAGAACCCAATTGAAACCGAGCATCGAAATTATTTTAAATCAGTTGAAGTCTAAGTAAGACTCCTTGTAAAATCAGTTGAAATCGAATTAACCTCCAATTAAAGCCAACTGAAATTGAATTAAATTCAATTAAAGCCAATTGAAATCGAGTTTAAATCCAATGAAAAACCAATTGAACGGCATTACAACCAATTAAGAGTTATTTGAAATCGAAATAAAATCCAATTAAAGCCAATTGAAATTGAATTAAAATCCAATTAAAGCCAATTGAAATCGAATTCAAATCCAATGAAAAACCAATTGAATTCGAGTTACAACCAATTAGGAGTTATTTAAAATCGAATTAAAATCAAGTGAGATTTGGTTTAATACAAATGAAATCTAGTTACAAGCAAATTAAAGACGGCTCAAGAGGTAAAGTTCATCAAGCATCCCATTCAATTTTCATATGTTTTCTTTTAGAAAAACTATATGAAAAACAATCCAAACCGAGGATATCAAGGGGATCCCTGATGCCCATGTTTTTTTATTCTACCCCCCCCCAATGCCCTCACCCCCCCCCCCTCCATATTTCCTTATTAGGTGGCCCCTTGTAACAGTAGTCTTCCTTCAGGATTTTAGGCACCTCAATTTATTATTCAATATTAGGGAGGGTTGTAGTATTTGGGGAAGCGATTAGTTATTTGCACGGGAATAGCGCGGCAAAGATGTTCAAAGCGGCTTCACATGTTCCCAGACATGCATACCGCAAAATCTTATTTAGACCCGAAAGAATAGGTCCTGCATGATCTGACCTTACTAGATTTATGACAGCTACCATAAACTCACAGGG